GGCTCTGCTTTTCTAACACCCCAAGGGCACAAACTACAGGGGGAAAATTTGATAAATTTGGCAATCAAGGTCTTTTTTTTTCCCACAAGGATAGTTCAGTGGAGTCATATAAGCCGTCTCAATTAAAGTGGTTTGAGCAGTAAATGAGCCATCAGGAAGTAAAGACAGTGAATGTGGGCTCCTGTGTGGGGAAACACCAAAGGGCAAAGAAACAATCTGAAGCAGTAAAACATTTTGGAAAGAATACGTGCCGTTCGGAGACGTGGATTTGAGCCCGGGACTCTCCACCTGCTTACTCAGACCTTGCCCTGGCCCCTTCGTCACCTTCTCTGGATTCACAATCCAGCATCCCCCACTTGAAAAACACTTAAATCACCGTAGCACAGAGTACTCGTTCTTTCTCCCCTGTGCGTCCTGCGTCGTTGAGGGAATTGGTGGAGGCGAGTTGCTCACAAAGCAGAGTGAGCAGACCCTTTCATTACACATACGACGTGTGTAATTACGCCTGTGGCATGTGTAACTCTGTTGCTTGGTAGCTGTCCATCCGTTTTCCTGACTCATTCTAAAAGATTTAAGACGAACGTAGAATCCAAGAGCTGAATGGGACTTTTTAAAGAATCTGATCCTGTTTTTAGGCAGGTGAGGAAAACTGGAACTCGGGGAGTTGCGGAGGGTCCCCTGGCGAGATCCCGGCTGAGCTGCCTCCAGATCTCAGCCCGCTGACCCCTGGCCTCGGACCCTTTCATGGTGCATCGAGCTGTTTCCTGCAGTCTTCTTGCCCACCCCAGCGCAAAGGGCTGTCCCTTCTTTGAACACTGATTGTATTTGCTGTCCGAACATCTTAACCGGCACTTGATTGCGGTGTCAGCTCTTTGAGTTAGCTTTCACACATGCAGGCCATCTCTCCAGGTGACCGCGGGCTCTCGAGGGCTGGGCTGGCGTTTTCTCTAGGTAAGATGGTGTCTGGTCCTGAGCAGGCCTCTCAGCCTCTGTTGACCGTAGCTTCCCACGTATAAAACGGAGACATGGGTTAAACCCCAGTACAAGTACCATTACAGTGAGAATTGCTCTGTAACAAGTCCACCTTTGACATCCTTCTTTTCCCTTTTCATGACAATAACATTTTAGTTCAATAAAATAATGTGAACAGTATTGTGTAGCATTTATCTCATCAGGATTGAACTTGTGAAATGCTTGCTTTATGACCTTCCACAGGGGTATTGTGGGCTAGAAACAATCAGCGTAGGAGAGCATTTGCGAATGGAAAAAGCATTATTCAGCGGGCAGCAACCCCGTGACGGGTCAGGGCAAGAGAAGTCTCTCTCGTTTAACAGGATCATTCTGGACATGCAGAGTGAGCTGTCCTGGCAGACACTGCACAGAGATGCAGAGGAACTGGCTTAGAGGAGAGAAGAAATGATGAAGTAAAGGTGCTTTCAGACACCTTTACTAAATGAAGGGTTATTACAGCAGATACAATTCTGCATCAACATGTTTTAAAGAAGTCGTGGAACAAACCACAGCAGGAAACTCTGAAGCACCAGAAAGCGTACTATGCTGACGTTGGAACGTTTATTTTAATTTGTATTGTGTATAAGGTATTTAGCAACGTATTTTAAAATTCTGTAAATTTGAATTACCCTTTATTACTGTAAATGTTTCCAGTCCTGTTGCTGGAACTTTTTTTTTTTAATTCAAAATCATGTTTTAAGAAACTTAAAAATCTGTAGAAGAGCCCTTCTGCTCGTGTCAGTACGCTGCTCAGTGTAAAATGCTGCTGGTTCTCGTCGCGGATCTCTGGTGCTTTGCCCTCGTCCCTCTTGCTGTCGTCCTCGTGTCGCCGGGACTCCCTGGGTGTTAACCCGGAGCAGCTCGGTGCCGTTCTCATCGGCAGGCTGACTTAGCGCAGGTGGCCGAGTCCCGGGCTGCTGCGGAGCTGGAGGAGTCAGGTTCAGCAGAGGAGCAGCCAGCTGGAACCGTGTGTGATTTATCGCCCATCAAAGTCTGTACATATTTTTACGATAGTTATTCATGACCTGTTATTTTTAGCACACGGACTAAATCAAATCAGCATGTTGACCCCAGAATGGCGAGTGATTATTTGGAGAAATCTTATATATCATTAGAAGACTTCCCAGATGCGCCTCTGTTGGACGTTAGTGACAGCTGGGACTCGTCATTCACTTATATTTAGTCAGGAATCTCAAACATTTATTTTGTTGTTTTACAAATTGTGAAAATTTGGAAAAGGAAGAGAAATAGAAAAAAGGAGCAGAAAACACTCATGGCCTCCTTCGTAAAGACGAGCTTAATGACACTTCAGTTTATTTTCTACCAATAATTTTCTGTATATTTTTGTAACTTTTCAATGAAAATGTCGAACATACAGCGAAGTTGAGAGAACTTTACAGTGAGCGGCGTGGCTCACACCAGAGCCTGCTGCGGTACCGCACCGCGCGGCGCACCTGCCTCGCCACCCACCCGGGCAGTCACCCGCCCTCCAGCCCCCGGCAGTCCACCTGATTTTTTAAATTTACTTCAGCGTCATCGCAGACATTACCATGCTTCTCCCTAAATAATTCAGCGTGCAGATCATTAATTGCAGTTCAGTATTTCACGTAGTTTCTTATTTTGAGGTAAAATTTGTATACAATGAAATACAAGTCTCAGGGGTGCACTTGCTGAGTTTTGACACTTACAGACACCGATGTAGCCCAGCCTCTATCAAAATTTCATTTTGTATTTTTCTTTTTCCACTTAACACTGCAATGCAAGCATTTCCTTGTTATTACAGACCTTCATAGTATGATTTTAATGGCTGTATCTGTTGATACTTTAAATTTAACTCTTTATTTTTAAATTTGGTGTTTTGATTTGAGTTGGAGGTTTGAGTAGATCCTTTTCCAAGTGACATTTATTATTTATTTCCTACTTCATTGGTGTGAATTGGTTCCCCTGTAATTCTGATTATCTGATTAGTCCGTGGGTTTTTCCATGTGTATTATGGCACGTTCCATCGTCATGCCTGGATACTCTCTGAAAGTACCAACAGCCAAAATGAATGCTGAATTCTTGAGTTAAACAAAATGGCTTTTTTCCAGCCTCTAGGATACAACTGGGGCCCAGGGCCCCAGTAGCCTCAGGCCCGGAGCTTCATCTGCTGTGTTTTGAGCCCATGGTTCTCGTCGCAGACTGCCAGACCCAGAAATGATTGCGAGCACTGTTTCTTTGGAGGGACAAGTTCTGGGTCCCAGGCTTGTATATATTTCGTTTCCTCCTTGTATACTTTCCCCAGCTTTGTCCAGATGGTCCCAGCCACAGACGTCAGTGGCATGAACCACTACGGGCTTTGCTGAAGTTCAGAGTGAACTCAGACTATGGGTGTTTCTAGTATGTACGTGGATGTGAACTGACCTCATACTAGCTAGGATTGTCGGCATCAGTGCCCTGATACATTTACCACCAGAAGTCATGAATCTGTGTTCAGCTGACTGTCTGAGCTAAACTGTCTGAACTGAGACAGGAGAAGGTCTCTCAGTGGAGACAGTAGTTATGATCCAGTGATTCCAATAGGAAACACATCGTAACAGAGCTGCCCCATGGAGGGGGGCGTGCGCTGGGACCAGTGAGCTCCCAGTTGCTGTCTTTCCTCAGGCAGCCCTCCAGAGGGTCCAGGCAAGCGTTCCTGCTCTGAGGGGTGGGGGTCAGAGTAGAGTGTTTCAAGTTTCTCAAGTTCAGCTAATTGTCGCCTTGGTTTAGGGATTAATTATGATTCGGTGCAAAACTTTCTCTTTTTTTAACAGGAAATAAAGGAAAAAAAGAAATTCTGCAAGATGTACATCGAGGACCTTGTGAAGGAAGCCACAGAAATCAACATGAAAAATGAGGCTTTGCAGAAGCTTTGGCCGCAGATGTTCATAGAGCTCGTCAGGGACGCGGTCATAGAAGTCCGCAATAAGAGTTCCTACATGAAGCTTTGCCTGCGGCACATCACTGACCAGAAGTAGAAATGGCTTTTAGTTGCAGCTGATTTTAGCAGTTTTATGTTTCTGAAGGTTGATATTATGTAGGTTAAACATGTTAAAACAACCACACTGTTCAACAAAGACTAGCATCAGAGCGTCATTGCCTCCTGTCCTCGTAGTTAAGGGCCAGGAAGCAGAGGACAGAGACAGGGAGGACTGCTGCCCCACACCCGCTGAGCAGGCCGCCTCGGGAGCTAAGCAGCCCTTAGGGGCGGCCGGCCCTTGCTTGGCTGGCGCCCTGCGATAGCCCGCGGCACGCAGTGTCTGCTCATGGCTCAGCATGAGTTGCTTCCACCTACTTTCAGCTGATAATTTTTAGTTATTTGCCTTTTTATTTTATGTCATGATCTCAAAGCCAAAAATGTTTTTTTTAATGAATGAAGAATAAACTTGCTAATAAATTAGCTTAAAAGAAAGCGTTTGCCTCCTTAATCCAGGCAGAATTGTCGTTTTTATTGCATGCTCCTCTTTAGCTGAGAAGGAGCCCTTCGCTTACACAGGGGGAGGCCCTGTTCTAGGCCTGCATCCTCAGGGCACCGCCGCGGGCCCTGGGGGTCACTGTGGGCAGAAGACAGGAGAGTGAATCAAAACTGGGGCAGGAAGCAAACGCTTTGTCCTTGGAGACCCGGAGGGAGTGGGCACGCCAGTACTTCTGCTTCTCTGAACGGCGTCTCGTCCTGACACCAGCACCCGGGGCGCGCTCGTCAGGCAGGCGCGGGCGCCTGTGCCTCACAGTTACCAGGGACTCGTGAGTGAAAGGTTCTTGTTCTTCTAACTGCATTTGAAGATCGAGCAGGTAAGCAAGCTGTAAGCAGGGGGCTCCTAGTTCATGCTGGGGAAGAGGGCGTTCGGAGCCTGTGACCATTGCTAGAGGTGACACAACTTCAGAAACCCCGCCTTACAGGTCAGCAGATCGGAGCTCCCCGACCTGCTCAGACTTCGCCTGGCAGCTCTGGCAGCAGGACCAGCAGCGAAGATGAGAACAGAAGTATCAGGACCACGAAGTCCTGCAGAAATGCCGGAAGGAAGTGAGGTAAGCTGCTTTTGCAGTTCCAAGAACGCCCTACGTCCTTAGAGCTCTTAGTCCCCCGCCCCCAGGAAGGACGTGCTCAAGTTTAGGAGATTAACGTAATGTTTCAGGACGTGGCCTCTCAAGACACACTGTCCTGGTTTGCGTCTTGGCACTTCGGCTCCCAGTTTAGCTTGTGACCCACCCGCACCTCAGTTTCCCCCTGAGAGTACCTCCCTCACAAGATTGTTGCGAGGGTCGAATGAGATCAGTGCATTTAAAGCACTCGGCATAGTGCCTGGAACGAAGCCACCACCAGCAAGTGAAGCTGTTCTTCATCTTCTAGAAACAGGTTGGACCGCAGAGTTGGTGCCCCAGGACAGGAGGAACTGTGTTTGGTGATGATCATCCGTCTCTCCAAGTGGAAACATGTGGACACCTCTCATCTGTCTGGCAGAAGGTGATCTCTCCCGGGGTTTCTGTCTTGCTTGGTATAGAAATGGAACCCCACCCTGAGGGTGACGCCGAGAGGGGAACGTTGGTGCGCCCCTAGGAGACGGGAGAGGCAAGAGCGTGTGCCTGCTCAGACCGGGGGAGCGGTTGCTCCCTCCAGGCCCCGCAGGTGAACGGCTGGCCATTTAACAAATGACCTGTCTCGCTTCCCGAACGCTGCCCCTCCCCATGACCCTCCCACCCCGATGCTAAAGGACTTGACCTCACGTTCACGCGCGCTCTCGGCCCTCCCCAGTTCTCCTGGGTATAACGCACCAAGGGCAGCACTCACTGACGTGGCGCCAGGTCTGCAGGCACTGCTGGCTCTGCCCCGGCCTCGTGCTTCAGGTCTAGTTACAGGGTTTCTGTCTCGTTCCTGAAACCAAACCTTAACGCGTCAGCTCTCGCCACTTGTCTGCCAGCCCTTTGTACCTGAGCTCCCCCTTGTCTGCCCCCCCACCCCCATCCCAAACTGATTGATTTCTATTTCTTGAATCCTTATTTTGCATAGTTCCAAACTCCCACTGGCTGTGCTGTGCCCTCCCATCTAATTCTTGTCCCCAAGGGTGTTTCAGCCAATAAATAGTAGATAGGATCTGCATTCATACCACTGTTCATCTGAAGTCTGGCATCTGAATAAAATAATGAAAGAATGAAGAGAAAGGGAGGGAAGAAGGAAGGAAAGGACAAAAGAGCCAACGAAAGAAGAACCTGGCTAGTGAGCAAGGCAAAGCGCATAGTAGAGCACAGAGACTCCGCTCAGGAGGATGTTAAGTTAGATCTCGAAGAACAAAGATTAGTTTTCCTAACCTGCCTTTGTGGGTCAGCTGGAGATGGAATGGTTGCTGTTGCCAAGAGGTTCAGAGCCAGGTTTGAAACTTGATCACAGCAACTGTGGTTAACCAGCGTTGATGGAATATTTGTTATCTGTGACCCTGATTTTCTACTTAAGTTTATGTTTTCCTGGCTCATTTATGCGACTTTTGTTGCAAGCTACCTCCAATCCTTTGTGGAAAGAGGATAAGGAAAAATAAATGAGCTAAAGCATACCCAGTGTTCCAGAGAATAAACTACTCCTCTGTTTGGGGGGCAATGGAACACTTTACAGTTTCTCTTCAGGAGACAGTGAAACTGTGAATTCCTTACCCCAGCCTCTAAGCTTTAGTTGTCAGAGAGTTGACTTTTTTCTTCTCTGTTTATCTTGAAATATTTCAACGTGCAGAAATGCGTGTAGAGTAGTATCTCAAATAAATACCCTGCATGCACCACTAAGCATAACAGATATCAATATTTTTCCACATTTGCTTCAGATTTTAAGAATAAAACATGGCAAGCAGAATGGAGCCTCGGCGGCCCTGCTTCCCTGGAGGTAACCCCGTCCTGAATTTGACGCGTAGCCTTCGTTCATGTTTCAGAACGTTCCTATTTATGCGCACACGCAGAGGGAGTTCACTGAGTCAGGCTTTTGTATTTTCAAATTTTATATAAATAGTGTCATGCAGGATGTATTTCTCTGCGTATTTTTTCCACTCAGTATTCTGTTTCTGAGTAGTCGTACCCAGAAGCATGACTGATGGGAATAACCACTTTCTTTGCACTGCTGTGTGACGTTTGGCTGCACGGCCAGTGCACAGTTTATACATCCCTCTTCCTGTCGGTGGGCACTGAGTGAATTCTAGTTTATAACTGTTACACACAATGCTGCTTTTAATATACTTGTTCCTATGTGAGTTTGGGGGTACACAGTTAGCAGAGTTTCTGGGTCATAGGCACACGTCCAGTAGTATTAAATATTGTCAAATTATTTTCTGAAGCCATTATATCGGTTGATACTCCCACAAGCAGAGAATACAAGTTCCAGTTGCCCCACATACTCAATGACAATTAGATGTTCATTTCTGCAGTCTGATGTGCTCATGTGAAGTGTGTGTTTTTGAGGGTAGGTTTTGTGCAGAGAAGAGACTGTTCAGGAGCTTGTTTTTAAAAAGATGAAATTTAAATGCAGTGAAATGCACTTACAAAAGGTGATTAATTTTAAAAATATCATCAACATCCCGCTTAAGATATAAAATATTCTAACACTTGAGAAGAGCTCTTCTAGTCAGCCCGTGCCCTCCCCTGTGAGCACCTGCTTTTGTAATGTCTTTGACCATTGATTACTCTTGTCTTCTCTGGAACTTCCTGCACGTCGAACAACACAGCGTGTGCCCTTGTGACAGCCTTCTTCTACCCAATGTATGTTTTTGGGAATCACTCGTACTGTTTCCTGTGTCAGTAACTGATCATTTTTCACGCCACAGTGTGAAGATACCACACTTTGTTTATCCATTCTGTTGGGTTGTTTCTAACTTTGGGGCTACTCTGAATAAAGACATTTTATATAAGTTTTTTGTGCAGTAGAACTGATGGGTCATAGAGTAGTTTTAAGTTTGACTTTATAAGGAACTGCCATGCATTTTCTCAGAGTGTCTGTGTAATTTTACACTCCCTCCAGCCACGCACAGAGCGTCCGACTGCCCCACACGTTTGCCAGTATTTGTTGCTATAAGCTTCATTATTTCTGACAATTCTGGTGTGGCTTTCTCAGCTATCTCGTTGTTGCTTTAATTTTATTTTGCCTGATGCCTAATGACGTTGATCATGTTTTTATGGGCTTTTTAGTCATTTTAATATCTCCGTTTGTGAAGTAAATGTTCAGGTCTGTTGCCCATTTTTAAAATTTGAATTGTTCACCTTTTTTGATTGATTTGTATGGTTTCTATATATGTTCTAGATGAAATACTTCTGTTCTGAATTACGATAAAGTTCAATTAATTTTTCTTTTATGGAAATTGCTTTTTGATGTTCCCACTAAAGTGGCTTGCCTGCCCCAAGTTTGCAAAGATATACTCCTCTGTTTTCTTCTAGAGGTTTATAGTTTTAGCTATTACGTTCAGGACTATGATCCTTCTTGAATTAACTTTTATGAATTTTGTGAAGTAGGGGTCACACTTAATTTTCTTTTCCATGTGGAAACCCAGTTACTCCAGTATAACTTGGTACAAAAAAAAGTTCCTTACTCCCACTGAACTGTGGCAGTTTTTTTTCTTTGAAAATCAGTTGACCCGTGTATGTGTGGGTCTCTTTCTAGACTTACTGTTCTTCCCCATTCAGAAAATTTACATGAAGACCATCCTGTCGGGACTACAGTAGCTCTGCAGAGTAGGTCTTGAAATCACGTGCTGTAACTCCTTCAACTTAATTTTTATGTTACAAAATTGTTTTAGCTAGTCTAGGTCTTTGTGTTTCCATACAAATTTTAGAGTCAATTTACCAATTTTTCTACGAAGAAAAAGATTTTGGTGATTTTTGTTGGGATTATATTGACTCCATAGATGAACTGGAGAATATTAACATCTTAATATTACTGAATCTTCCAAAATCCATAAATACGAGATGGCTCTTCACTTATTCAGATCACTTTTTCAGCAAAACTTTGCACATTTTGGGTTAAATTTGATTCTGAAATAAATTTGTTTCTAAGCATTTTATGACTTTTTTATATTTTAAAAGTTATTTAAAGTTTCACTTCCAGTTGTTTTTGCTAATATATAGTAATACAGTTTATTTTTATCTGTAGTTGATTCTCATTATTTATAGATTCTGATCCTCATTATTTGTAGGTTCTATATTTGAAATTCACATAATTGCTAAAGTACATTTATAACCCCCAAATCAATACTCACAGTGCTTTCATGTTCGTTCACAGACAGGAGCGGAGTGATGGAAAATTTAGGCCAGCCAACAGGCACGTTCCTAACTGAGGTCAAAGAAGGCAACGTTTGGCCTTCTTGTTTCTGTTGTCATAGTGTAAACAAATGTCCCTTTCATGGTATATTTAGTGTCATGCTTGCTGCGTTTTTGTGGTTTTTGTTGGTGGCTTTGCTGTGTGAAATGCCCTCGAAGGGGGTGCTGAGGTGTCCTGTGGTGTTCCTAAGCACAGGAAGTCATGGTGCGCCCAGTGGGGAACCATGTGTGCTAGACGAGCTTCCTCCAGGCATGAGTGTTAGTGCTGTTGGCTGTGAGTTCAATGTTAGTGAATCAACAATATATATAATTACTAGATGCCTTTAAACAAAAGCACATATTAAAAAAGGTTACAGATTGATTGATTGATTGATTGACGAAGATGTTGTGCTCAGAGGCTCACAGGAACCTAAGCCTGTAGTTTTCTTAGGAGCAAATGCTTAGTGTTTGCTAATTCAGTGTTGACGACAACCTTATAGAACATACCTTCAGTGAACAATGAGAATCTACTGTACTGACCTTGTATCCTGTAACCATACTCTATTAATTTTGGTAGTTTCTTTTGTGGATTTTTTAGGATTTTCCAAAAATCATTTTTTTCTACAAATACAATGTTACATCTTCCTTTCCAGCCATTATACCCTTTATTTCTTTTTCTTTCTTTATTGCACAGGCTAAGACACCAGCTCAACATCTAAAAGAAGTGGTAAGAGTGATCATCATTGTTTTGTTCCTATTCTTATAGTAAAAGTGTTCAGTATTTCACTATTATAAATTTTGCTGTAGGTTTACATAAATAGCCTTTATCAGACAGAGGAAATTCCTAGTTCGCTGGGAGTTTTTGTCATGAATAAATACTGACTTTTGTAAAATATGTTCTCCATGTATTAAAATAATCATAGGGCTCTTTCCCTTCACGCTGTCAATGTTATTGATTACACTGGTCAGTTTCCAGATGTTAAATCAGCTTTGTGTTATCAGGGTAATACAGTGATATCCTTTAACATGTTACTGGATTTTATTTGCTAATATTGGTTTAAAAGTGTCTGTGTCTATGTTTATTAGGAATATTGGTCTGTAATATTTTTTCTGTTGAGTCTTTTTCAGGTTTTTGTATCAAGGTTAAGTTGGCCTCATAAAACAAGTGGAAAAGTGTTCCCGTCTACTCTTTCTGAAAGAAAAGGAGACGAACCATATCCTTTAAGATAGATGCTACATTTCCTTGTGATTCATTATGTGAGTAGTAAAACTTTTCATGTCCTATCGGTATGTATGTGGTATCACCAGTATCAACATCTGAACCAGACTTTGATTGAAAAGTCCATCTCAGTGCTGAAAGGTGACTATAACATTTTTATATCAATTTAGGTCAAATCATGTATCTTTTCTTTCCTGCTTATTCTGTCAATAACTGAAAGACTCAAAATCTCCCCCAGGGGTTTTGAATCTATCCATTTCTCTTTGTGTTCTATTGTTTTTTGCTTTGTGCATTTAAGGGCATGTTATTAGGTATGTACTGATGTAAGCGGAGGGTCATCTAGGGTTCAGGATTGGCAAGACGCCTTCTACAACGTAAGCAAACCTACCGTTACTGCTCCGTGAAACGCTTCTCAAAGAACGGCGTAGGGGTGCCCACGTTAGAGTCACATGTGGAGTCTTACAATTCAGATGCCGCTTCCATCCTTCCTCAAAGCAAATCCCTGCAAGCGGATCCCCGCCTCCGTAAAGGCTCCCAGCTAACTCCCACGCAAGCCACGTTCTGGGACCAGTGCTGTGGTGGGTGCTGACATTGGAGCCGTGAGCCCCTCAGCCTGGCCCTGCGGGCTGAACAGGAGTTCACTTCAGTCTCCCACCATGCGGAAGGCAACCGGAGCAAACCCCAGGTGACGGAAGCCAGGACGAACAGGAAGAAGCGGTTGCAGCAAGAGAACAAGAAACCTCCGAGGGAAGTTTCGACAGTCAGCTTTGAAAATGCTAACTTGATGTGTTTTCAGATGCCTGAGGTCTCTGCCTTTGTCCCCAGGCTGACACTGGAGTAGCAGAACCGGGCAGCCATTCCTCCAGCAAATTTCTGTGAAGCCCTAGTCACGTGGCCCAGCGAATATAAACCTGGGTCATGGGAAGAGACGGTGGCCAGTGGTAGAGCATTTTGTGCGGCTGTGACACAGAGACTGAAGGCTGTAAGTATGTGTAAGAATAATAACACTTCTGGCTTCTGCCCTGTGGGATAGCCTGCTGACAGGGATGGAAATGGTGACTGGATAGGACTGACCAACCATGCGTGGGGCAAGTGAGGCCTTTGACCTTCAGCTAATCCCAGCGCTGAATGTGAGAAGGCAGAGATCTTCCACACCATGAATTACGGGGAGTGAAATCTAGCAGCTGAACGTACAAGGCCTAAGGTGGACAGCGAGGTGGACGTGAAGGTGCTGCGGCCTGATGACCAGTGCCCAAGCAAAGCTGAGAAAGAGCTGCTTGGCTCTCCCCATGGAGTTTGCTTCTCAATTTGAGTTCAGCTGAAACCATTCAAATTCTGGTTTTTTCCATCAGTGGATCTCTGGCTTGTATTTCTGGTCTAGGAGAGGAACTACACGAACCGCTCTCTGCTTTTCTTTGTCATCCTGTCCTTTATTCTTCCCTTTACTGGCCTCACATCTCTACTGCTTCTCATGTCTTGCTGTAAATCCTCTCTTAAAATTAATCATGTTTCCATATCTGTCTTCACTCTATTTCTCTCCCTTTATTTTTTGTCCCAAGTGTTGCCATCATCTTCTTGCTGCCTTCCTGCTCCCTTCTCGTCAGTGCCCTCTCTTTCCCACACTTCTCATCACAAAAACACATCTTCCTCCCTCTCATTCCGTTCATTTCTTCCTGTCTGTGTTTTTGTTTACAAGTGCCTCCAGCCACCGTCTTTGTATCTCAGTCTTCCAAGACCTCTGTGGCTGTTTTTCAAGATCTCTGTGTTGACCTCAACCTCTGTGAAGTTATTCTCAGGAGCATCATGTACCAGGCAGAGTGAGATACTCTGACAGGCCCAGTCTGAGGTCCTGCGGTGAAAAGAACAGAAACACATTACACCCAGCAATTCTCCTACTTGACTCAAGTTCCTCAAAGCAGGTGTAATGCTGGGACTGTATTCAGAGCACGTACATTTATAGAACTGTTTTTGCCGGGGAGAAAGCCTTGGTATCAGGTGATACCATTTACTCTAAGAAAAGTAAGATACAGCAACATGACATCATTCCACGTGAAAATCACATTTTCTGATGCAGATGGCTCAGCAGCAGCGGTGGACCTTTTGCCTGTCTTTCATATGCATCCTTCCATCCCCCTATTGCAATACTGTTACCAAGTTAAAAAGAACAAACAAACCCGGGACTGACCTGGATAAATAGCTCCTTGTTCTGGGAAAGGGAACAGAAAGATCAGAATGAGCCTGGAATATCTTGTTGCCATCAGGAAGCAAGAATCTTATTTTTTTGATGTTAGGGGCCATATAAGAAGGTCAAAGGACCCAGGTTAAGGGTTTCCATTGACCAAGTTGTAACCATTTGAGCACAAAATATTATTGTTATTCTGGTTACTTGGAGTCTGTGGCCTTTCACAGACTCATATAATATTTCTCAAAAGAAAAGTTAACGTCATGAATACAGAAATGTAGTTGTAACACAGAAATTGGATAATCAGTCGTGGATTCGCTGCTTGTAGATGAATTTTAACAAGTGGCCATTTTTTACATGCGGATATTTTATTCCTCACGCTTAACTATCGCCCTGTATAAAAATACGTAAATAAATAGCACATACTTGCTTCTGAGGAAAGAATAAAGCTATGAAACTGAGTAAATCAGTAATCCAGAAAGAAGCGGAAACTCTGTCAGGAAGAGGAAAGACTGGTTTGGCTGGCACTGAGACTGACGTGTGATTTAGGCGGAAAGAAAGTCCAACACTTAATCAGCACCAGCGGCCACACAAAGTTACCAAGAAGAAAGGCTCAGCAGGGTCCTCTGGAAAGGTGACCGAGTCAGGTGTCCGAAGAGGAAGAACATGCAGCGCAGACCCAGCGCCTCGCCTCGCAGGGGATGAGGCCACTGGCCGCCCTGCGCATGTTACTAAAGCTGCCAGTAAGGGAACAGGCCAAGTCAGTGTATCACGCCGACAGGACACTGGGTTTTGTAACCCTGGCGAGGTGAGACTTCAGAAGTACATCATTTCCTGAAAGACATCAGGCTGTAAAAAAGAAAACCCAAGTGAAGGTGTGACCTTGAAACGCGTGTTGCAGTAAGGCCGGAAGTTGATGCTGCCTGGGGTGAGTCCTGCCCCGGCCAAGACCGGCTCGGCTGGCGAGCCGGCCTCTCCGGCCGTGGCTGGGCCGCGCACATGTGCTTTTCCTTTTGGGTCTAGTAATGTTACTCCACCCCTGGGAAGAAATAAAAACATATTGCTGAAACCCTAGGAAGATATTAAAATAAGTATACTAATATCCCCTAGGAAGGTATAAAACAAGCACATAAATTATCAAAGAAATGAGTAAGTCCATTGTTCTGTGCTTTTGAGTATGTTCAAGCGTAAGTGTAATGGCAAGCTGCGTAGTCACTGCGTCTGTGAAAGTTCTATGATATTTGAAGCGTTCAGAACATCAGCCCTAAAAATTTGCAATTGCATTTAAAATGATAAAGGAGAACTTAATCAAATGATAGCTTAAAATTTCAAGATAATTTTTAAAAAATACTTGTTTATTAGGTATATGAGTTCAATAATTTGAGCATTAAACAAAATACAAGTTTCCAGCTCCTGACAAGAAAATTAAGAAACCTGGGCTGTGAGATGCCATCTCCCAGGTTATCCCAGAGGAAATTAGAAACGGTGTCTGAAGACCACCGTTGCACCTTAGGATTACCCAGGGAGCTTTCAGGTCTGTTGATGATCAGGGGCATGCACTCCTTGGGCCACTTGTAGCAGAATCTTCAGAAGCAGATTTTAGGCAATAGAATTTTTTAAATACTCCTCAGTTCCAACTAATATGCAGTCAGAAATTGACAGAGGAGAGGAGAAGGCAGAGTCTGTGGAACTAACATCAACACTTTGAAAAGGCTGCGAGGAGCCCAGAGACAGCTGGGAGTGGGTATGGATGGAAGCGCACGGCAGCCTGGGGCGGGCACATCACGGGGCGATGGGTGTAGCTACAGAGGGTGAACTTTGCTCTGACTTATCCCCTATGTTGCCTTGGCAGGATCTCTTCTGGCCCCGTCACTTTCGTGGAATGGAAATTAGCGAGAGCAGCCTCGATACCAACAGGTATGCATGTGGGGGAAATGGAAGGACTGGGGAGGTGGGGAGAATTTCAGACCCTCCCAAGTTGGGAATCCAGTGAGAACACGGGTATGATGACCAGCTGCCCTGAGGCATTTGCTTCTTCATTCCCTTCCTGCTTGTGTCCTCAACAACAGTGCATTTCAACCTAAGAAGTGTCTTTCCCCTTGGAGATAACCTGCTTCTCTCCAAGAACTTAAGGGAGATTGTCTGATGGAGGCGATGCCTGACGAAGGAACTGGGAATGGAGCTGGTCTGCAGGTTCTGGGCTGTGTGATGCTCTCATTCCTGGAAACCCTCCCCAGCCTCCATGAAGGTCAGTATCACACAGACCATATTCTCTAACCACGATGCAATCATGTTAGAAATAGTGGCAAAAGAATTGTTCGAAGACAATTCTCCATGGGTCGCTTGTGTTTCTGTTTGTCTTCTGCACAGAGGCATTGTCAGCTTTTGACTACCTTTCCAAGGGTGTTTGTATAGCCCATAGCCTTGGACAATAAAACTAGTATCTCCCTCCATGGCCGAGGGCAGGTCTGTTTGCTGTCTAGTAAGATGAAGATAGTGTCTCCCTGTGGGGCAGATGTTAGGTAGGTTGGCTTTTATGGAAGATTGGCGTTTCCTAACCTGAGGGTCCCTCAACCGTGACTGAAACCCACTGCTTTTGCAGCGCCCTCCTGGACCCACACGTGCATCCCTCTTGTAGGATTTCGAAGGCAAAGAGATCCAGTAAGAAAATGAAGTCATTAAATTAAGTCCTTTGTCTTTGACCCAGGAGTCTCGTGTCTTCCACCAGTGTTTCTGATACGGTGGCTGGCTCCCTTGTTAGCGTACAAGTAGGTAAAACCCAAGACTCTTCACAGTTCTTGATAATAATTTTTAAAATCCTTTAAGTCTGGATATGAAATTGCATACATCTAAATAATCTTTAGATTAAAAAGGAATTCAAGAAGATAATACAGAAAACAGAATAAACAAAGAATTTTAAGCCAAAATTTATGGACACAGCTAAACGGTATTTGGAAGGAAATTTATCAATTTAAATAAATGTGTCAGGAATCAAGAAAGATTGCAAACTAACGAGCTAAGTGTTTAGTTCAAGAAGAAAGAAAAGGGAAATTAGAGCAAAACTAAAGAAATCAGAAAGAAAGAAATATTAAGGGCAGAAATCAAAGTAAAGAGTAATGAACCAGTAATAATACAAGATGTAGTAACAGTAAAAACACACAGCAATGAAGGTCCGCAAAATTAAAAGCCGATCGTTAAATTTCTTGAAAAGATAAACAAGATGGTCTTCTGGGAAGACTGGTTAATCACATAAAACAACGTGCAGGATGATAAAAAGGAAGTTGCTGTGGGTGTGTGAGGCATTTCACAATAATAAAAGGCTGCTGTGAAGACTGTGGTCTAGTATATTTGAAACTGTAGATGAAACAGATTTTGCTCTACAAGGTGGTGTTTAAATTACTCAGCAACAAGGAGAGCTTGGTGCTGGCCCATCAGGGAGGGCCCGTGCCGCTCAGAAGGGTGCTGCCTGGGTGCCAGGCGGGCGTGTCCTGCCCGAGTGACAGCTCTGCCTTTCTGAGTTGACACTTAAATTCCCAACTGGCTCAAGGATAAGTATAAATATCAAACAGCCCAGTAAGCACTGAAGAAGCAAGATGGTGACCAAAGCTCTCTTTTCCCAGAAAGCCGCAGCCTGGGGAGTTTTTTAGGTGAAAGCTTTACAGACTTTA